ATGTGTTGTTTGTTTTCCATTTCTGAGATACTTCATTTTGGATGATGGTCTCCAATTCCACCCAAGTTGCTGCAAAATACATTATTTCATTCCTTTTTATGGCTGAGCCATACTCCATGATATATAAAAGCTCTTGATACCATGTAGCATTGTTAAATATCATCTTTTGTCTACAAATGTACAAAGATTTTTTAATTTTATCTTATTCAAATATGTTAAATAAGGTGAACAGGACATCTTCAGGTTCCTTAATATCTGTCACAATATGACCCCTAAAGTTTTTAAAGTGGAACAATACTCTGTCTTACATGTTCATCTGTATATATTTTATGGAATATAATTTTACTACAAATAATGCTTTATATTTTTTAGATTCCAAACTTTTTGTCTATTTTTAAAAGAAAAGAAATCATATTATAACTTTTCCTTTTACCAAGATATTTCCTCTACTTTGCTTTATATATGTCACAATAATCTCAAACAAAAGTGACTACAGTGACAAACATCTCCACAGCTAGAAATTTCATCAAAAGCCTTTTAATTTTGTTATACCTACAGACAGAAAACTATTGAATGCTACCTTCCTCACTTTCTCCTTGAAAATAATAATACTCTAGTCAGTATTAAACTGTTAATATTTAGAAGGGCATGTGCAACATTCACTCTTGTATATTAATTTTCTCCCCATCATTTTTATGTGATTTCGTCTCCCTCTGTGCCTATGACTGTGTTCATTTCTACTGATCCACTGTATATTCCTTCCTCATTGTTTGTACTGTTCTTAATTATCTCACTTTATTGGGGGCTGGGAGGAGCTCAGTGGATGTCATTGATTTATATGAACTGATTGTTCTTGAATTAATTTGAGGTTAGGAACATCTAGATTACAGACTAATATTTTTGTTCCCATCAAAACAATTGATATGTTAAAGACAAAAGTTATTCTTACACATAGAGAATAGAAAATCAAGAACTCCAGATAGGCAATGCAAATTTGTCTTCAAAACCAACGCATTCTATGCACTTTCCCATCTGCAAAATCTTCTCTTAACACAAGTAACTTTTTATATCTTCTTTATACTGGCTGTGCAAATGTACCAATAGGTTTAGAAACAAATAATATTATGAAGCTAATAATTTTAACTTAAATATAAATTTTCTGATATGATTTAATATATATATACACAAATATGAAAATTTTTAAAGTAGATAAAAATTTAAGTTTAAGGACTTTAAATGAGATAGTAAGTAGATTATGTCATTGACCCCTGTGTTTTATACCTCCCCGCCTGTACCCATGGCCTTTACCATGTCACTTAGATTTATCATTCCCTATTTGATTCTGGACTTGGTCATGTGGTTTGCTTGCACCAACTGGATATGTTAGCTGACATTGTGGAAACAAGAGCTTGAAATATGAGTAAATGATCTGGTTTTCCTCTTCTCTTATTCTTCTGCCAAAACCAAAAGAATAAGCCCAGTCTACTCCACTGGAGGATAAGAGACAGGTGAAGTATAGCTGAGTTGCTCTAATTATCCTGGGTATGGACAACCTAGATAAACAAAAAAGCTAGTTAATTCCCAGACATATAATTCAACCTGGTCAACAATAAAGTCACCAACTGACCCAAAGACAGTTGGTGAGATGACTAAAGTTGAGTATTGCTTATTTATATTATATTTTGATATTGTAGAGTTATTTAACTTTTTAAGGTATGTTTGTATAGAGCCATAATACAAATAAAAAAGATTCAATTTAAAAACTAAGTCTTTTAGACTGTTATTCACCTTCCTCTAGTTTGATTGATACCCTTAAAATAATTTTTTAAAAAAGCATTTTCATTACCATTTGGGTATTTTTTAAATTCCTACTTAATATAAATACTTCCAAACAAAATGAACTGCAGTGTGCACTTGATGTTAGCAGCAGCTGCTTACTGATGGGTTTTGAATTTTGAGCTATTTTGAGGACTAAACCCCACTGGGAACTTTGTTAGTGTCAATACCTATTAATAATTGCTGACAAATTATCAACAACCTATGAGCAAGTTTTCTGTTGATAACTTGGGAAAAACAAACATATGGTAACTTTGACATTATCTTAATTTTCTTGCAATAGATATTTCACTTTGATGTGACGAAAAGACAATCTATTTCGGCAAAATTTATGTTATATTGGTAGGGAGAATAACAAGATTCTCTCAATGTGCCTTTTTTTGTTGTTTAAATATGACTTTCTGAGATTAAGAAAGTTCATCTGGAAAAATTCAAGTATGACACTGAAGTAGAAAAATTCTGTGAGCAATATAGGCTTTTTGTAGAGCTTTAAAAAATGACATCTTCAATTGCGTGTCTTTATCCATAGAATTCCCCTCTGCGGTTTCTTTTTCAAAGGTACCAATGCCTAATGTAGCAATCTCTATGATCAGTTAGAAGACCCACTGGAGATTAAATAAGAGATGATATTTTTCTCATTTTTCCCTTTCATGATAGCCAAGAAAGTAAATCAATTTTAAAATATTAACATTTTCTCTTTGGAAAGATATGTCCTTATAAAATCACAGAGGAGGCTTCTGTGTAGACAGAGAGCATCTTAAAATAAATGAAATTAATTTTATTATGAAGGGTAACCATAACCCACAGACTTTATTCTCTCAAGAAAATTGTATATTAAGTCATTTTTGGATGGTAAAATAAATTTTGTATTCTACCTCAACTTAGGATATAAAAAGTTGCCATTGACTATCATTCTCATCCTAACAAACAAAAATGTAGATAATCCAAAAAATGTATATATGTATATTTGTATGTATGTATGTATATTTTGAGACATATATATATATAACCCCACACATATCAATGAGAAAGCTATAAATATATATTTTAATATTAGACTTTAAAACAAATTTAGGAAAACTAAAGAATGGATATTGATAAAGGAAGAAATTAATCACATAGCAATCATAAATAATGTAGGTCCATAACAACAGAATTTTAAAATGTATCAGTAAAACACTGAGAGAATTGAAAAAAGAGATAAATTCATGATTAAAATTAAGGATTTTAATAACTATTAATACGTTTCAAAATAAGTAGACAAAAATTGTTAAATATAAAGATTTGAAAACTATCAATCTATTTGATCTCATTAACATTTGTAGAACACTCTCACTAATACACATGTATTTAAAAATGTATGAAATTAGGTGTATACTGAATAATAAACCTAATCTAAATATATATTAAACCAACAGTCTCCAACTTTTTTGGCACCAGGGATTAGTTTCACCCAAGACAAATTTTCCACAGATTGAGGGTGAGGGGGTGGGAAGGCAGAGATCAGATGGTGATGCAAGTGATGGGGAGCAGCTGTAAATACAGATGAACCTTCCCTAGCTGGCCCATAGCTCACCTCCTGCTATGTGGCAGGTTCCTAAGTTTCTTGGAAGACAAGTTTTCCACAGATGGGTCGGTGGGGGGGATGGGGAAGCGGAGGAGGAGAGGCGGAACTGAAGTGGAGGCGGAACTGGCGGGGAGGCATTCTTGTGGCCCAGTTCCTGACATTACTAATAGGTTACACAGACCCATTCCTTGCCTGCCTGGTGCAGACCACAGTGTTAAAGAACTGAAATAGAACAGCATACTCTCTGATCACAATATAATTAAATAAAGAATCGATACAAATAACATATATAGAATATTTTAAGTATGAGGAGCTTAAAATAATTATAAATTATTATAATTATTTTCAATCAAATACTAATTAAATATTATGAAACAAAAGATAAATCACAAGGGAAATTATAAAATATTTTTAATTCAATGATAATCAAACCACAGCCTGCCAAAATCTTTGCAATGCAGCTAGATTAGTACTTTGAAATTAACGGTTTATACTATACAAAAATGAAAAGTCTAAAACCAATTATCTAAGCTTCCAACTTAATAGGAACAAAATAAATCAAAATAAACCCAAAATAAGTAGAGGAAATGAAATAAAAAATAAGAAAAATAATTGAAATATAAAATAAATAATGAAGAAAAATTACAAAGCCTAAAGTTGGTTCTTTAAAATGATTGATAAAATTTGTGAAGCTTTAGCAGAGCTGATCATAAGCAAAAATAGAGAAAACAATAAGTTACTTATAGTAGTTATAGAAAAGGAATTGATATAATTCTTTTAGAGAGTAATGAACAGGAAATAGTAAGAAGATAATATGAACAACCAATAACTTAACGAAGTAGATAAAATAGAACATTTTTTGAAAAAAATTCTTATCAATTATGTTACACTTAGAAGAATGGTCTCCAGGCCGGGCGCGGTGGCTCACGCCTGTAATCCTAGCACTCTGGGAGGCCGAGGCGGGCGGATTGCTCAAGGTCAGGAGTTCAAAACCAGCCTGAGCGAGACCCCGTCTCTATCATAAAAATAGAAAGAAATTAATTGGCCAACAAATATATATATATATAAATCAGCTGGGCATGGTGGCTTGTGCCTGTAGTCCCAGCTACTCGGGAGGCTGAGGCAGGAGGATCGCTTGAGCCCAGGAGTTTGAGGTTGCTGTGAGCTAGGCTGACGCCACGGCACTCACTCTAGCCTAGGCAAGAAAGCGAGACTCTGCCTCAAAAAAAAAAAAAAAAAAAAAAAAAAAAAAAAAAAGAATGGTCTCCAGTTCCATCCAGATTGTTACAAAAGGTATTAGTTCATCAATTTTTTTAATGGCTGAGTAGTACTCCATGGTATACATATACCACATATTATTAATCCACTCATATATTGGTGGGCACTTGGGTTGATTCCACATCTTTGTAATTGTGAATTTTGTGGCAATAAACGTTCAAGTGCAAGTGTCTTTTCTATAGAATCTTTTATTCTTTTGGGTAAATACTCAGTAGTGTGATTACTGGATCAAATGGTAGGTCTACTTTTAGTTATTTGAGGTATCTCCATACTACTTTCCTTAGAAGTTGTACTAGTTTGAAGTCCCACCAACAGTGTGTAAGTGTTCCTTTCTCTCCACATCCATATCAGCATCTTCTGAAATTAAATAAATAAATAAATTATAATAGTATCAATAAAAAGTTGATAGTAAAAGAAACAAGATTGACAGTCTAAATAGCCCCATATCTATTAAATATACTGCATTTATAAAGTAAAAAAAAAAGCCTTACTAAAAAGAAAACTGCAAGACCACATGGATTCATTTATGAAGTCTGTGAAATGCTTTTGTAAAAATAATACCAAAATTTAACAAATCTTTCAAAATATAGAACAGGATAGAATACTTCTTAAGCTATTTTATGACTCCACCATAACCCCAATACTAGCCATTTAAAAGTAAACAAGAAAACAAAAAACAAATTATTTAACAATATCATTTTTTAATTTAGATACAGATATAATCAAATTCAAACCAACAATATGTGAAAAGGGAAATACATCATGGTTACTCATGTGGGGCTTATGTAGAAATTAATGTTTTAAAAATCAAAGTCAATCATGGTAATTCACCACATAAGTAGAATAAAAGAGAAAAGTCATATAATTATTTCAATACTTGTAGTAAAAACTATTTGAAAAAAAATCAACATCCATTCTTAATTGTAAAAAAAAGTTTGTGTATACTAATAATAAAAGAATATTTTCTAATAATGCTAAATATGATTACTACTAATAAATATTATTTTATACTAGAAGTAATATTGGGCATCTATGAGAAAAGTATAAGAAAATTTTAAGCAAGATAAGGATATTAATTTTCTCTACTTCTATGCATTATCATATTGTAAGTCCTAGCCTATACAAAAAGGGGGAAAAAGTTAAAGGACATAGGTTGAAAATAGATAAAACTCCTTATGGAGTTTTATACATGCACATTATTATGAATACGAAAATGTTATGAAAGCAATAGAAAAAAAGCTACCATAATTAATAAATGAATTTAGCAAAGTTGTCATACACAACAAGGTTATTATACAAAAGGCAATAGAGTTTCTAGCAATAAATCAATAAAAATAATACAATATAAAATGCCTAATATTAAATATGATGACAAATGTCTAGATCATTTCATCAAAACTATAAAACATTATCAGTAACAGTTAAGGGCTGAGTAATTACAGATATATACTATGAGCATTAAGACTGGAAGATTCAATATTGTCAAGATATTTATTCTTCCCAAGGTGGTCTTTTTTGAGGACATTGATATTCTGAATCCAAAACTATATGGAAATGTAATGAGTGCAGAATAGTCATAATAACCTTGAAAAAAGGAAAACAACATAGCAGACTTTCACTATTGGACTTCAAGACAGGAAGTATGGTTATTATAATTAGCATTGGTGTGAAGATTGAAAACCAAATTAAGAGACCAAAAAATGAGAGACCAAAAAAGATGTGTGTATTTATGATCAATGGAACATTGACAGAGTCAATTCAAAGGGACAGAAAAGTCTTTTCAATAAATAGTTCTGGAAAAACTGGATATATTGGTAAAAAATATTTTAAAGAAACATTTTATCATTTTGGTATAAAGTCCTTTTTTTCTTTTAATGTTTAGAGATAGGGAGATAGTGCCCAGGATGGAGCGCAGTCCCGTGATAGTTCACTGCAGCCTCTAAGTCCTGGGCTCCATCAATCTTCCCTCCTTGTCCTCACAGAGTGCTGGGATTATGGGCATGAACCACCACACCTGCCAGATATATCCTGCCTCTTATAACCCACATCATAAAAATCAATTTAAAATGCATCAAAAACCTAAAACATAAGCATTAAACATAAATCTTCTAGAAGAACAACGAATACCTTCATGCCTAAGGTTAAGCAGAAATTTATTGGAAAACATACAAAAAAGGGTAATTACTATAAAGTAAAAAAAGATAATTTTCACTTCATAAAAATATAATCCTTCCCATCAAAATAGAAAATCAATAGGAAAAACACAAACTACATGGAGAAAAAAATTTAAAAAGCATATATCTGACAAGTTACTAATATAAGAATGTGTAAAGAAGTTGATAGTAAAAATATAAATAAGCCAATTAAGTTGAGAAAAATCATGAAAAAAATGAATTTCAGGTAGGAATATATTCTAGAAGCATGTGAAAATGCACACAACATCACTAGAATTGAGAAAATGAAAATTAAAACAACATTGATATAATATTCTATCCCTACTACAATAACTACAATCAAATCGATTGAAAAATTCTGGCAAAGATGTGGCATCACAGGGAATAAAAAATGCACCAACACCTTGGATGACAGTTGAGGAGTTTCTTAAAAAGATGAGCATTTCATTATTGAGCATTTACCTAAAATAAATAAAAATCTATGAACTCAGGAAGACTTATATAAAAATGTTCATAGCATTCTAATTTTTTTTATTTCAGCATATTATGGGGGTACAAATGTTAAGGTTACATATATTGCCCATGCTCGTGACCATCCGCCAATCGTTGCACATTTCACTTATTGTGTTTGTGTATATGCATTCTTATTTATAATATTTATGTAAACAAGCCAATTGCTCATCAAGAGGAGAATGGAAAAACACCCTGTTATATATGTATATATTTATACATATATATATTCACTGTTATAATTAATTCATACAATTAAATACTTGACAACAAAGTGGAATTAATTACTAGTAGACCTCGTGATATGAATGGATTTTAAAACATTATTATAAGCAAGAGGAGTCATACACTCTCACAAATATAAGATGCACTGTAATATTTTATATATATATATATGACTTCTAAGAATTATCAAGCAAGAGTGATCTATGGTGAGAATTTTAAGCCATAAGCAAACACAAATCTAGAATTTTTTTAAAAAGCACAATATTTGTGAGATCTGTATCTATATGAAAGTACAAACATCCTTTAGGTTTTCTACCAAGACTCATTTTGTGGACATTGACAAATACTTTGAGGTTATGAGAAAGAATTTTTGCTGACAAGGTTCTGAAATCTGGTCTTAAACACATTATTTTGCCGCATAGTTTAAGGTAGGAGTCCTCAAACTTTTTAAACAGCGGGCCAGTTCCCTGTCCCTCAGACCATTGGAGGGCCCGACTATAGTTTAAAAAAAAACTATGAAAAAATTCCTATGCACACTGCACATATCTTATTTTGAAGTAAAAAAACAAACAGGCAATCAACACCGCATGTGGCCCGCGGGCCGTAGTTTGAGGATGCCTGCTTTAAGGTTTTATGGTGAGATATATGAAAAGTAATTCAAATACTTTCTCCGTCTGTTCTGTCTTTGCAGTCGTGCCACTGTCAGGGTCATTGTGGCACATCTCAGAGGTGTAGATGAGTTATGACAGATGTGGTTCTACACTTTCATCTATTTCAGATGGCCATTGCCATATCGGAGAAGTATAATGTTTGTTATAAAATTAAGTAGTTAAAAAATAGAAATGCAAAATTTGTCATCTTCCTTTCAAGGTGACCACTCATTATGTTCCTATGAGGCTCCAAGGAAAGCGACATATAAACTTCAGCTGTGACTCCCACAGAGCACAGAATTCTTTGACATCTGTGCCAGCTGTTCCTCCATTCGAACATTTGGTGTCTGAACTGATGAAAAATGTTATCTTTAAATGAAAAAAAAACGGCTTAGAACTTGACTATCTCTTTTAAACCAAAATATGCTTATTTCATTTCTCTATATATTGAGACTTAATTAATAATATTAACTGATAGACTGATAACTAGCAATGTCTTTTAGAGTAGTAGAAATAAAATTTTGTAAAGTGTACCTCATTAGCTTAGTGCCTGTAATTTCAGGCTACACAAGCAATTTCATAAATTCAAATGCATTACCTCTCAGCATATGACATTCTCTCACATTTTGGGATGGTTGAGTTTTTAGCATGCCTGCCAATATTTGGCATTTTCTATGATTTCTATGTAACAGGTGTTGCAGTACAGCCTAAACCTTTACTTCAAGTGACAGCAAAAGATTTTTATATAAGAGTTTTTATTGCATAGTATAATAGGCAAATTTCTGAAATTTATGTATTTTAATTTTTGCTTATTTTTTCAGTTCTAATATTTCTATGTCAATGTCTAATAGAAATGTGAATGATATCAACATGTTCCTGAATTAAAAAAATCTTTTTAGTCCGTCTACTCTCAATAAGGACATCTGTGGTTATTTTTGAAAAGTTATATCCTAATTATTTGTAAAATTAATAGGTAACAAAACATGTAGATAGACACATACAATGCATGCTTAGCAAGTGTGACTCTAGCCTAGACTCTGAAAGAGGCTCACCCAATATCCGATATTGGAAAGGGGGAAGGTTTTCAATGCAGCAAGGCAAAGGTTATGAAGTGGTTTGAGGAATGGAGGGGATGTCAACCTCAGGCCAACCTACTCCAAATGTTAAGTTCCAAATAAACATGATAATAATTCCATTAACTTGGTAACAGGAAAGACAATGCTATCCATACAGTATTGAGTTTGATGTAATGAAAATGAAAAAAAATAAATCCTTTAAGATGTTGGAAAATAAAGAAACAAGCTTAAAATACTCTAATTTGAAGAAAATATTATCAAAGAATGGATTTGTAGAATTGTGTGTGATTCCCAAGGCTATGGAAACCTGCGATTTAAAATTAAGTCAGGAAAATAATCACCGTTATTTCTTTGTTCTAGATCTTATATTGTATTGCATGAATTTCATTGAAGGGCAAAACCTGCAGCATCTATACTATACAGCTATAGTAGAGGGTACCTCTCGGGTTTTTATAAATATATTGAGCTAAGTAAAGTATGCCATGTACAAGGTGTTGCCATTTTATTCTGCATCCCTTCTTTCCTGTGTCATTATTTGCTGTGGTGTCCTTCCATATGATTCAGCCACCAAGGCTCTAAAGTCACCCTGAACTGTGTGTCATTACTAATGCACGGAGCCTGCCCTGAGCTTCATTCACACCTATGTAGAATGTCTCTCTCTGTCCCCAGCCACTTGTGTTGGGCACTATCATGAGGCACCAAAGAAGAAAATCACTGACCCCATACTACAGAGAGACTGTTAACGAAAACAGAAGCTTCCATTGATCTCTTTCACTGGCGCTCTTGCTCTTTTCTTTTCTAACCACTTATTGGGAACTGAGCAGGAGTCCAGGGCTAGTAAGTTTACCTCTGTCTGTCTTCTCAGTCTTCTCTAAACCTATAATCTTTTTACCAAAATCTTGTTAGTTTGGTGTTCTAATTTTATTGAAAATTACCTTAATAAATTGCTTTTCCCAGGATTATATTTCATTTTTGCTATTTTTGAAAGTTTTATATTGAAAATCTGTGATGAATGAAATAACCAATTATTAGTAATTATTATGTCTTTATGTTTACAACTGCATAGACTATTTTGAAAATGTAAGAGAAGAACAAATAACTTATAATACAGATTGAGAAAGAAATAGGAAACAGGAATAACTAATAAAATTACATAGAATCCAAGGTCTGCATTGTATAGAACAATTAGTGAGTCACTACATATGAGATGCAAATTGTCCATTATAAACTGTAATTTTGATAATATTAGAGTTATCATGCATGAGATACAAATTTTAAATAATAATTTTAAAACCTCTTAGAAACAAAAATATAAAGACTTAAGTATAAAGGATAATTTTTTCAGAGGAAATAGCATTTAAATTGAACATGATGAGTAGTAGAATGTAGATAGTTTCTGTTCCATGTTTAGCATGGAAAAATTTGGAAACTTCCAAGAATATGTAAGTCATTGTTATGAATGAATTCAGTAAAAATCCCTAGTATTGATAAAAAAATAGAAGTCTTGATCTCTAGTTAATGAATCAATATATTCTATGAAATAAAAAGACTCATGATAACTTTACTTCCATAGAAGGTGAAGGGCAATAATAATTTGCCAATCACTTTGAGGAAACAGCAAGATTTACCATGGTTGCTTTGAGAAACCCAATGGTTGGTTGTACAAGCTAATGACTTCTACAAATGGCCTTTGTATAAAATGACTACTTTAATATGACATGATAAGGCTCCAAATAAATACTAACTTGTATTAACTGAACCAATCTAATTATGATAGACAAATTTGGTACAGTCCTGGACCACAACCTCAGACACTTGAAGTTAGAATGTCTTTACCTGTTCATAAAGATACCATAGTTGCAGTTTTTACTTTGAGTGAACATTGAAGGTTTCAGCCTTAAGAGAATATAATTTATTTTCTATTAATTTTTTCATGTATCACTTATGCAGTTAATGTACCGGAATAGAGAAAGATTAGTTTTTTTTAAAATTAATTTGAAAATATGCCCTTCTATTTGAAAGGTTTACTCTCTTTAAAATATATTTCAAATAATGAAATTGCTCTTCATGTGAGAGTAAAATTCTGAAAACAAGTTCTAGAGAGAGTAAAATTCTTGTTTATATATATTTTTAAATTATCCTATTAGAAGTTTATGATTAGAACTCATAAGATCTAAGGATTATAAAATCATAAATATACATATTTTTACAATATTTGTACATATTGTAGCTTTATTTCCTTATGGTAATATCTTAAAAAATCATTATGACTTTAAATTATTTTTTTTGACAGACAAAAAATTACTTTAATGACAATCTCAGAAATATTTTCCCTCTAAACAAACAGTAATTACGTGGCTTCCTTTGGTTTTGCTTTAAGTATAAATATGTCACATGTAATTTATGTGGGCATTAGGGCAGATAAAGCATTTCATCAATTAACTTGTTAATATAGAATTATTGAGATAAATGCAAAAGAGAGTTATTGATTTTTTTTGATAAAAATGTTCATGTCAAGTAAAATAATTTGGTATGTATTTAGGTGCTCATATTTTCTAAAATATAATTATATACAATGTATCACATTGGCTATCTAATTTAAAAATTAAACAAAATAAATTAGAAAGTATGTTGTATTCTAACATTTTCCAACTTTGAACTGGTTTTTTCATCACTCTCTAAAAATATTTTGGTCTAAGATCTCAGAATTCATTGGGACTTTTTCATTTTATTTTGATATATTATAGTTTGTAGAGATGATAAATTAAATTTAAAATATACACAAATAAATTATATCATTATATATTTTTGTTAGATTTTTAAGTAATCTTTGGTGTTGCAAATGCAACCTTCATTTTTGAATTCTTATATATATCTCGATTAGTTCTGGAAATTAATTTGTGATGGTCAACCACTGATAGTTACAATTAAAATTACTCTGTAGGCTAAAACATGGCCTCCCAAAAATTATCCACCTCAAATCCCTGGAACCTTAATTTTTTTAAAAAAGATATTTATTGATGTGATTAAGAATCCTGAAATAAGATAACCCTAGATTATCTGACAGGCCCTAAATCCAATGACAAGTGTCCTCATAAAAGAGAGAGAAATTTGAGACAGGCATAATACAGAAGACTCAGTGAAGAGGTGGACACCACATGACTATGGAGACTGAGGCTGGGGTGTTGTAGCCATAAACCAAGGAGCTGGTGACTGCCAGAAACTCAAAGAGGCATAGATTAGATTCTCCTCTAGAACCTTTGCAGGGAGTGCAGCCCTGCTGGCATTTTAATTTCAAAACTCTGAACTCCTATACTGTGAGAAAATAAATTTCTGTGGATTCAAGCCACCAAGCTTGTAGTAATTTGTTATGGAAACCCTAGGGAACAAATACACTCTCTGAAATGTCAAAGTTTTCTTTGTTGCTCTCGTGAAGGGTATTGATTCTTTGATTTGGTTCTCAATTTGATTGTTGTTGGCGTATATGGATGCCTCTGATTTTTGTGTATTGATTATGTATCCGGAGACTTTACTAAATTCATTTAATAATTTCAGGAGTTCCTTGGTTGAATCCTTGCCCTTTTCTAAATATAATATCATATCATCAGCAAACAGTGAAAGTTTGATCTCTTCTGCCCCAATTTGGATACCTTTAATTCCACGTTCATGTCTGATTGCTATAGTCAGGACTTCCAGCTCTATGTTGAATAAAAGTGGAGGTAGTGGGCAATCTCACCTGGTTCCAGATCTAAGTGGGAATGCTTTTAATTTTTCCCCATTCGGTATGATGTTGGCTGTGGGTCTGTCATATACAGCTTGTATCATTTTTAGGTATGTCCCTTCTATGCCTATTTTATTAAATGTTCTTATCATGAAAGGGTGTTGAATTTTGTCAAAAGTTTTTTTTGCATCTATTGAAAGGATCATATGGTCTTTGTTTTTGCTTCTGTTTATGTGGTGAATTACATTTATAGATTTGGGGAGGGGGGGCCAGGGCATTATTCAAAACCTTAAAATTTGCACCCCCATAATATGCTGAAATAAAATAAATAAATAAATAAATAAATAAATAAATAAATAAATAAAATGTCAAGATTGATTATTTTTCAAGTACCCCTATGATCTTGTTTCTTTCTTTCTTTCTTTCTTCTTTCTTTCTTTCTTTCTTTCTTTCTTTCTTTCTTTCTTTCTTTCTTTCCTTCTTTCTTATTATAGTATTTTAGGGGACAAAATCCACCTCAGAAGTTGATATGCCACCAAAATAGGTGACTTCTGGCAGTATGAAAATATTCTATTTCCCACTGATGTTGAAGCTTTTATTCTTTAAAAGTAGAGTTTCTCAACCTTGGCACTAATTAACATTTTCAGCCAGTTAGGATAATTCTTTGTTGTGGGATGTCTCATGCTTTGTAAAATTTTTAACAGCATCCTTGGCCTCTTTCCAGAGGATGCCTGCAGCAACCTCCCATTGTGACAGCCAAAATGTCTCCAGATGCTGTCCAATATCCACTGGTCTGCAAAATCTCCCCTAAATGATGAATATTGTCAACAGATTAGCTGAAAGTATATCTAGTATTTGGGACAAATTTCTCAGTGACTTCATCTTTTGAAGATTTTATTGTCTAAAAAGGGCACAGCAACATTATCAATAGATGTCATTTCCCTTCAATGTGACTTTAACATCCCTGCCTTTGAGAGTTGTAGTCTATGTTTTATCTTGTGTATACAGATAGACTTGTGACTAATGTGAAAATGACACTGAGTTATTTCCAAGGCTATGTTATAAAAGACAATACATCTCCCTCCTAGTTCTCTTGGAATGCTTGCTCTTGGAACCCTTCCACCATGCTTTGAGGAAGCTCAGACAGCCTGTGGGAAGGCATGTGGAGAGGAAGCAAACCACCTGCCCTCCAGTCCTAACAAAGCTGGCTGATGATCTCTAGTCCTCCTTGACAGCATACGATTGAGCCATCTCAAAAGTAGATCTTCCAGCTCCCAGTCAAATAACAGGAGCTGACCATCTGGATCAGGGATGTGCTATCCCTGCCAACCCCTCCCCAACTGCAGATTTGTGAACACAATAATTCATCTTTGTTATTTTAAACTGCTAAGCTTTGGGATAGATTTTTTTACATGATAGATAACAAGGTCATTATCCCGGTAAGCTAAAATACTCAATAAAAGAAGACAAGCTTTGGAGGAATATTTCTCAAATATTTAATTTGACTCCCTCCCTCCCTTGTTTCTTCCCTCCCTCTTTTTCTTCCTTTTCTTCTTTCTCTCTAGCTTTACATGTTTTTGTACATACATTGTTAAATATTGACTGCATTTACTTGTATATTTAACCAATATTTATTGCCTTACCAATACAGTTGACAGCATTTGTTTTTGGGTAACTGTAATAAAGCCGTAAGCTGTTCCATCAGCTGGAATGCATCTCACTTAACGGAATGCTTTATGCATCACTGGCCTCCTGACGTCCTCCACTCATCCTTCCAAATTCAAGACAACCAGAGTTCTTTCTGGTACACCCAAGTAGAGTAAATTACTTCATCTTTTGTACTGCTAACACATAAACATTATATTACTACATGTTTACAGTTCTCTTTTCCTTGTACACATATGCATAGAACTTGAAAGCAGGGACTTTATTGTATTCTAACATTCCAGGTTCTATACAAAGACAGCTCCTTAATAATTATTGAATAAATAAGCCTGTGAGTTGCCAAGTTGAACATTTGAGAATTTTTCATAACAATTATGTGTTGGTATGAATGAGAATGAGTACAATAATGACTTATTGTAAGTGTAAGTCATATAATATAATTGGAAAGTTATGATTCCCAAGGAGTTAGGAAAATAAGATGAATGAATGACACAGGTATGAAACTGCAGAGTTTACTCAGTAAGAAGTTTTGCATTTCAAGACCATTATTCATGTGATGAATAGCAAGAATAAACATAAAACTGCAATTATGTGAGAAATAAAATCATGTTCATATACAACTACATATTATCAATTAAAAATAAATGTTACTGTTCAAAATATAGAGAAAATTCAGAAACAAAGTGAGTTTAGAAAATTCTAGGGATGAATAAATCTAGGTCTTAAAAGAAATAATATGGATTAAAAAACAGAGAAAATACTTTAGGAAAATCTGTATTAAAAAAGGAATGATATATTTTTAGTATTCACTTACCACTGCTAGTATGTAGTTTTATTATAAAATGTAAGAACAATTTTTCTGGGAACTCTATAAAAGATATAAAAATCTAATCATTCAGTGATCAACATAAAATGTATATTCATGTTTATCTTAAGGCTTTTTTTTTAAACACCAGATATTGACACCGATATCTCAAGACTTGTTTCTCAGATCACGATTTCTTTCTTTCATTCTGGCTTCTCATTTAATTTTTTGATAATGAATTACTTAAGAAATAAAGAATTACTTTAGAAATAATGTCTTGCATTGAGACTTAAAATTACATGTGAAAAGTCAACACAAAATTAATTAAGCAGCTAATTATTTTGTCTCCACGAAAATAAGTGATCTTTTTAAGATGGCAAATTAGGTTGTTATGTTGATGTATGATGTTATATTAAGATGATGTAAATGGCCTCCTACAATATATAATGTCAAGATCAAGGCAAAAAATATAATTTCTAACTATTATCTCATTAAATTTCACATCTTCTTAAATAATTCACTATGCATGTTTTAATTTGTCTCATAAAATAATACATAAATATTATTTTTATAAGTAATAAATTACAGAGTTGAACAATGCTAAATTATTTCCCTCCTGTGATAATGCCTGTTAACTAATTTTAAATTGTAGAATAGCTGTCTGATTTTAAGTATATGCCTTTCATAGACACTTTATAAAATCCCCCCAAATTAGCATTTGTTACATACTTGTGCTATTAACATTTCTTTGTTTGATAAACTGTATCCTATTCAAAAAACCATCATGCTTGACACAGTATTGAGTATGTATCGTTGATTTTCAAAGGATCACAGCTGGGATGCTATTCACAAGTAAGCGGAAAGAAAATACTACTACTCAACATTTTGCAGCATTATTCGTTTCATAATAGTGTGTAGATTTTGAGTAATTATTAGTCATAATAACCAAGGAAATGCTATTTTCTCTTTCTAGATGAACAAATAATCTCTGAAAAGAAATTGGAGAAATAACTTAAAATGAATAACGTAAAAGTTCTTTCTGTTTTTCACTACCATTTTAAAACTTCTTTCATTATCTACTCTTGTTTTAATAGGAACTCTTGAATAATAAAGAAATCAAATATCTGAATCTTTGAAGTGTAAGTTTTTTATTGACCTTTATTAATTCCATTTTTATCTTTTTAAAATGAATGCATTTATGTATATATACTATTGTAATAGCACTGAATTGATCAAGTTAATTATAACATGTAATGGCTAAAAAACAATCTAATTTTGTTGCTTTGTAACTTTTTTAAAGATCTGAAAATACACCCCTCACACCACATTCCAACATATATTTATGGGAAATTTTTTCCCTGGGTTAGGAAAGAAGAGAGAAATAACTAAGTGTACTGATTATTATTTCTCAATATGTTGCACTCATCTCTTTATGTACATTTTACATTTATTTTACTGCAAGTTAAACATCATTCTACTCCAGCAGCTGTAATATGAAATGCTTGCAATTTCCTATTTAAAATATTTTCTTAAGCGTTCTGTTTAATGTTATATTAAGTAAGATATCTGTGTATTGAAGGCTTTTCAAATGAGATATTGAAATTATTATTGGATATTATCACTTTCAATCTAATCTTCCCCAGAAACTGATTAAAAGGAATAGTATTCTTCCTTGCTTTGTAGTAAATACCTGGTGTGGGTAAAACACTTTGTATCTATCCTGAACAAACTATACACACCCACCACAAAGTTGAAAAGGAATCCATATCTGCAAAGTTATATGAAAAATGCAACAAAAGTCTCTAGAGTATAATATTTATAATGTTACTTTGCCTAGAGAATAATAGGGATACAACTGACTCTTTTTGGCTGGTCTCTAAGTCTCATGGTGTCTCAAAACATAAGCTTCATTGCTTATTAAAAAATAGTAATAAACTAGTTTTACAAAGTGATTCATCCTTGATATCCAAAAATCACTAAGATGTTTGCTCAGCAAATAAGTTCCATGTGCAATCTACAACCTGCATAATAACAGGAAAAGCTCACAAATGCAATGGAGAGCTGACCCAGCCTTCCCGAGCCTATTGATCCCATAATCTCCTGCCAACTCTGTAGATACTAAGCAGCCTGTTATGCTTCTCTGATGCAAGTTTTCAGCAATATTATAATAAATAATATTAAGGGATGGCCACTTTAACTGCCAGTATATAGGAGTCACAGAATAAAATAATTTTTAAACACTAGGTACTTCCTTTGATGTTATAAGTGTGCAATGGTAGAGGTCGTGATATCTTAAGAAGCACAAATTTTGCCACTGGTTGATCATCAGCCCTTTTTTCTGGGTGTATCTATTGCAAATAATAATATCTTGGTATAAAAAAAGTAAAAGAGGAGTATTTACAAAAGGAATTAATGTATTTTAGGCAAGAGCCCATGAGAGATACTTTTTTAATTAGCTCTCAATGTGTATTTTTCTTGGTTCAGATTTTTCATCTCAATATATGTATCTTTTTATATGATTTACTTTGAAAATATATGTAAACTTAGTTTATGTGTTATGATTTTTTAGTTTCTTTGTTTCTATAATTTATTATATTTTCTGTTATTCACAATTATGCTTCATTGGGGGTAAAAAAAAATCTTCAGAAATTGAACTCACCAAGAAACTGGATTCCAATGAACAAAAAAGATGTACTTGTGTGTGTGTGTGTGTGTGTGTGCACACTCATGTGTGTGTATATATGTGTGTGTGTTTGTAGATATACCAGAGCTGTCCAGAAAATATCCAGCCATAAATACAATGGATACATGGGTACAATGGTTGGATACTTTCTGGACAGCCCTCATATACAGAGAGGTTATATATAAGGACATGTGGAGGAGGGTGTGTGTATGTATCTGTTTTTGTATAGCAATACTTTTGGAGATCCTTAGGTGATTCATTTACAACAGGGCAGCATTTCCTGAAGGCAGTACTGTAGAACACTAGTTCCATAGGATATCAATATATATTTTGCTTATAAAAGAGGTTTCTTAATCAAAGAACAATGGGGAAGGTTGGTTTTAAAATATGCAGATTTCTTTATTGCTAAACTTATCAAAGGTGCCAGTTGAATTATGGCTGACTGAATTTAATACTGTAAGACATATCTAAAATAAGTAACATTTCCTAAGCTTTTTTGATCATAGATTCTGTCACAGATCATCTCATAGTGTTAGTGAACTGAGGAATACAATAAAAATTAGAAAATTGAGGATGAGAGAGATTATTTTACAGGTGGTAATACCTAGAATTCTAATTCAGAATTCTCTAAGTATTATACATACCCCATGAGCCAGATTATTGTAATTTAGTCACAATCTGAAAACAACAGGAAATAGTTCACTAGATATCACATAACATGAATTTAGATCATTTGTCATTTGAATAAAAATAAGGACTATCTTAATAGGAAGAATGTTACTCATGTTTCCATTGATAACAGAATAAGAACAGAAGATATTAGGAAATAGTTATTACATATAGAGATTTTATTACCTGGAAGTTTAAGAGAGTAAGGTCAAAAATGGTAATAATGCTCTTGAGATGGTTTAGGCAGGACATTTAAAATGGTAAAATATGTTTAGATTACTTTCTGATATACGAATTGTTTTATTTGCCTAAAGCACAGATTTATAAATGAGTAATATTTTGTACATTATTTTCCAACTACAAATGTGCACTCATTGATATCTCTTGCAAAGTTTTATTTAAAAAAATACAATGTTACTTAGTTGTTCAATATAGTCTTCATAGTTAATAAAATGCAAATGCTGGAAAGGAGCAGGTTTTAGTGCTCCAGTAGCAGAGTAATAAAACATCAGAATCGTAGTGCATATTTTCATTTTATATTTTAAAGACATTCATCTATGTTATGAGTTTTTAAATGGCCAATCATTTTTATGTGTAATGTCACAATATTTTTCATCCAGGAAATATATATGACTTTTCTTGACGATTTCAATACCTTCCAAGCAGTTCATAAAAGTACTTCAAGAAAAATTATAATTTTATCTCAATATGTATTAGACTGTCATTCATTGTTCTAGAAACAGAGTTATGCTCTCTTTTGCTCTATATAAAGTACATAGACATTCATCTTTTCTTATAAAGGCAGTTAAAATAGATGAAAGATCTCCAAGTTTACTGAACTCTATAAAACCAGACAGTAGCTGTCTAAAAATTGTCTGCAAATAACTAAAAGAATGTTGACAAACAAAATTATATTGACTGACCTTATGTTCATACCATATTAGTACAACTTTTAATTTTTTAATATATTTATTTCATAAACAGAAATTCTAATGTTATAATAGCACATGTATAGTCCCTCACTACAGTGGAAGAAACATAAAAGGCATATCTCCAAGACATAGGTTCCCGGTACCTAAGACTGGACTTTATCAGAACATGGGGAAGAAGAACATAGGAGATTCGAGAATGCTCCCCTCCCATTGTACCATCACAATGCTAACAAAGCTGAAATAAAACTAACCATAAACATAACCATAAAATATGTTGAGAATGGAAGTCCCATGTGCACAACATTTTAATTACTGCTTAGCCACATAAGAATAGGCCTTGTACCTGGAAAACTTCCTTACCAAGATATATAGAAGCCACACAGCCTGTGCTTGGCTTATTGTCTTCTGCGGGGATAGCTTTCCCATTTACAGACTCAATGTGTACTCTCTTGCCACACAAGGTTAAGCATATGTGTCAATGGCCCTCCAGCCAGCTTTCAGTATTTTAGGCTCCATGGGAGAATGAGGGGATATTTATATTGCAACATGAGAGGGGTGTGCATAGGCCATTGCTGATCTCTGTCTTTTCTCTATCTATATAAAGTGGTGTTCAATCCAGTGCTTGACTGTATCCTGTTTTCCTTGGTGACTACAATACTAGGATGTAGTGGACAAAAGTGTTTGGACTTCTTTTCATAGTGGTTGCCATAGTAATGACCTTTGATATCCTCCTTGAAGTTGGAATCCTCTACTAGCATTGGTAATCACTGTGTGGTGTTCTGATCCACA